AACACATCATCATCGCCATCAACATCTTCCTCCTCTTCCTCTCTTCTTCTCTCTTCTATCTTCTCTTTCTTTCTCCCTCTGTTTTCAGCACAGCGATATAAGAGGGAAAGGCCACAAAAAAAAAAAAAAAAAAAAAACGGGCTGTTTGGGGGGACAAAATTTGGGGGAAAAATCATTTTCCAAATAGCAAAAGATAGAGGAATGGTTGAATTGGGAACACTCGTACTTGAAATACTAGGATTTAATAAAGCATGTGGCAAATAAATACCAAAATGAATTTGATTTGGCAGATCTGTCAAGAAGCTGATGAATGTTACTTTTAGAAATTGGCATATCACAACCTAGAATTAATGTTTTAGGTTACTGGATTTCGCAGATATTGTTTTTTATTTGTACCCCTTTGCTTATGGTTCCGGCTGTGCGTGGTAGTTTTACAATCTCTATTCTGGCTTGCTTTGCTCTCATTCTTTTGTCTCGGATTTGTGACTTAACCATCGAAGGGGCTTCTTTGTCGCAAATGATACTTGCGGTATCCTTTTGCCGACAAGTCACGGTTCATGGATGACTTTGGTCACTCACGAAGCTCTGATTCTCAGTTTAGAATTTATCAAGCGCATTCACTAAAGACAAATTAATTAAAAAAAATTAGATTTACACTGTGTTTGGTGCATGAATTTGAGATTTAGAAAGCTTGAGAGAAAAAATACGTAAAACGTATATATAATTATATTTCATTCATATTTTATTAATATTTTTTGTTTTTTTTTTCAAAATTTATGAATTAAATACAGTCTTAAGATAAGTGATTCCAAACTAGGTAGTAGATTAGTTAATGATGGTGGTTGTGGGAGCTCAGTTTAATGGTTGGGATTGGAGTAGGTGTAATGGCAATGGTGATAGTAGATGACAAATAAGCTAGCTTTATCCAAATTGTTATGACAAGTCTTTGATTTGGAGTCGGGTTTGGTAGTTTAGGACTAAAACTGTGGCTGGCTAATGATAAATGTGTCTAGGTAAGGTTAGGCCAGCAAAGCAAGAAATTGGGTCAAAATCTGAACCGGGATTATATGGCTTCAAACCGGTTTGATTAACAAGGGAGTGAAAAAAAGTGGACCACAAAGTGCTTGTGGGACAAGAGATGGGGGCACTGAATAATAAGACGAAGAGGAGGAGAGAGAAAGAGAAAGGACATCCAGAAATGAGAGGAGGATACTAAAAGAGACAAATAAACAAAGACTTACAAAACGTTAAAGGCACATGAATATTATCTATCATAATATAGCCAAGAGAGAGAGAGAGAGAGAGAGAGAGAGAGTCATTGCTCTCTTTGTTCTTCCTTCTTCCCTTGTCCTCATCTTTCTCTATTTTTTTGTTCTTTTCTTTATTCCACTCTTGTTTGCAAAATCACATAGTCTAAGATATATATCCTTTCATAATAAAGAAAAAGGAATAACAAATCTACTCTTTTTCTATTTTCATTCTAGTCAATCAAATATTACTTAAGGATATATCTTATATGAATCAAATAAAAAAAAAATTACTTAAAGAAATTTCACATCATAATAGTATAGTGAATATTACATGAGGGTTGGGATCAGATTGTGAGAAAGTAATTTATCGTGAATTTTCTAATCCCGGCATGAATAGCCTACCTTTGATCAAATTGAGGAGAGAATTAGATGAGCTACATGTAAGCTAGCCTAGACACATTTGACTGTTGAACCAAAAAAACAAAAAAAAATACTACATTATTACTATTTCTTTACAAAATTACGTTGTCCAATACTATCCCATAATGATATATATCATCAATTAATAAGAAATTTTGCATTGTAATCAGTAGCGATCGAAGATTTTTGAAGATTTTAAATTGAAACTATATCTAATTATGTATTTTGAGAAGAAAATCAAAAAATTCCTCACATAAGTGAAAGATTCAAATCATTAACTTCTTTAATAAAGAAGTACAGATTCTCGCCAAAAGAGTAAGAATAATGTTGGTTTTATGTTCAACATTGTTTGAAGTGGGGCACGAGAGTGGATATCAAGGTCATTCTTAAAGAAATAGAAAGTGTTAGTTTGTAATTCGAGCAAAGTTGCATCCTCCATGATATATATAGTAACCACATATAGTAGGACAATGCATGCTTGAATGGCCTTAATTAGGAGTGTGTTCAGTATGTTCGAACACTTTGAAAGTAAAATTATAAATTAAATGACGAATTGATAGATGACCAAATTATGGTTTGGAGAGTTTGTGGCAGATTGAAGAATGTTCTTAACAAATTATCAACATTTGCATAATATATAATATTAATTTACATAATATTTTTCATATATATAACACAAACTAATTTTACAAAATATTTTTTATATATATAACTATTAATTTCGAATAAAACAGTGCGAATTAATATAAATCAATATAATTTTAACATATTAAACAATATTTTGTACCCTCCTAATTTTAATTATGGAGTTGACCTCAACATACATTGGCTAGATTAATACCTGTGTTTGTCTAATTATAAAATAGTAGTTATGACACATCCTTCCATCGTGTATTGGAAGTCGGAACATCCCCATCATAACACTCGACCAACTCTCTCTTCTTAATTTTGGTTTTTTGGTCCCCCTTCTATCCCACCCTTGAAAATACCAATTCTCCAATGATGCCTTTTGAATTCTTTTATGGAATGTTGATTTGTCTCCATCATTCAATCAATTACCCACTCTCTCTCTCTCTCTCTCTCTCTCTCTCTCTCTCTCTCTC